CAGAGGTTCTGCTAAATTTTAAATTTTTGGTGTTCGGTCTATGCATAACTTAGCTGACCTAATTTAGCTTTCTACGGCTTTTCTTTTCATTTTTATCGGTATTGTTTTTTTGTTGTTTTTTTAAAATTTCCACATTGTAATAATAACAATAGTTTTGGTCCAGCACTTTGATCCTGAAGAACAAATTGAGCCGTAAAAGATTTAGAAATTAGAGCACATTGAACAAAACCTTTTTAATCTTTCACCCTAATAAATTATTGTATCTTTTAATTTAAAACTACATTCTTTAAGTTGAAATTGTAATCAAACATTACTAATACGCCGAGTGTAGAATATCTCTTTTGTGTTCATATATTCTTCAATTTAACTTTAAAAGTTTTATCTATGTATTTCTCGTAACGTTATTTACAGTCAATACAAATTCATGCTTCGGCTTTAGGGTTTGTTTTTTTTTTATTATGTATTAATTTTTTTTTATTGATCCTTCTTTTCCAGTTTCTCACCCTTAATTTAAAACAAGAAAATATTTTTAAATTGTAAGAACATTTTGGAGATGATAATAATTTATTGATACAAGTCCTGTTAATTCACCTGCAACTGGGGCAGAAGAAGCGGAATCATACCTTTCCCAAGGAAATACGAATAACGAACATGACCGGAATTCGAACTCGGCTCTCTGACTTCCAATTCCGAACCGTTATCGATTACACCACCCGTACATTTATTTTAATCATTTTTTCAAAATCATTTTTTAATTTAACCACAAGTAAGGAAATAAAACCACTAAAACGCAATGGGTTATGGAGTGTTAGAGAATATGCGAAAAACTACTATTAAGGAGAGAGGATAATAAAAGAACAAGCATTAAGAAGACATAAGATAATGATTGACATTGCATTTAAATATTTGAAGATCAAAGTTGACCGGGAAGATAGAATCCGAAAGAGATTTCTATAAGCAAGAAGTGCAATAGAAAAAATTGTTAGCATAGAACTTACGGTTGTAGCTAGCCACTTAAACAGTAATAATGAGACCTTGCCACCAATCTAGTACTGAGCTTAAACACATTTTTAGTTTAGAAATTCAGTTTCTCTTTTGAAAATTGACGAACAAATTGTTCAGTTGGTATGTTCACCATTTTTAACTTTTTGATTTTCTTATTTTTTTTAGAAATTCAATTTCTCTTTTTTACAATTGATGGACAAATGGATCAGTTGCTAATTGATTTGATTTTTGGTTTCGAAATTTATTTCCCCATTAGACAATTGTAGAACAAATGAATCATTTGGAATGTCCAACATTTTTATATTTGTTGATTTGTTTTTTTGGTTGAGAAATTTGGTTCCTCTTTTGATAATTGCAGAACAAATAGAGAAGTTGGTATGTCCACCATTTTTATCTTTTTTGATTTTCTTTCTTTGTTGAGAAATTCAGTTCCTCTTTTGATAATTGCAGAATAAATTCTTCAACTTCAAATGTTAGTAGGGCCCGTCCACCCCTCAAAAGAATAAGAGCGGCCGCTGTATTCTGCCTATAAATAGAATCAAGAAGTATACTCACTAATGAGGTGGGAAGGATAAAGATAAATGACAGGATGGGAAAATAAAAAACTGACTCAGCTGATATGTAAAAAGAGTGGTGGCAAATAAACCGCAGAGGTTGGTAATCTCAATATGACTAAGTACAAAAGAGAAAACCGGGAACAGGCCGGGAGCAACACTTATTGACATTAACTAAGAGAACAACTAGTGTTGGAGGGCTCACAGGGAACCTCCCCGTTGCATTAAAGGGACTTAAAAGTGGAAATCAAGGTTAGCCCCTTTCACGTGAACCAGGTTCGCCACAATCATTCAACTTTCGCTGAAATCCGTCGATATCGAACGCTTTCTATCAGATCTGATCTTTATTCTGAACTGATGCTTGAAGAATATAAGCAGATCCTGATGGGAATAACGTTTGTATTGCAAGAGTTCCTCCTTTCGCGACGTCCATACCACCATTCTTGCTACGACTGGCAACATAAGAAACACCATCCGTTTCACCCGGGAGAACGGGGGTGACACATTGTCACACGCGCACGCGAGATCGGTGGACACGGGCCGACCGGGATCGCGATCCCCTCCACTAATTCACGATACAATAACTTACGAGGCCGTGAGAGGTTACTGGACCGAGGAAAGACCCTCAAGGCCGCTCGCTATTCACTGAGGAAACTCGACAAGACGGCGCTTAGCTCAAGAAATGGGTGATAAGGCTAGGGAAAGCGCCCCTTACACTCTCTGTCGAAATCGAACCCTCTTTCAAAACGCGGCATAGGAAAGCCAACCTCGAAGCGTGTCGATGACTCATCAAGTGTGCTATCCCAGCCTCCCATGATATTGACGCTGGACACAGACATCTTTACGGATATTCTGATGGCGACAAACACAAGAAGGTGGACAACAAGCACTCGATCGTCTTCTTACGGTCCTTTCAAAGAGGAAATACAGCCAATCAGCAAAGAATGAGAGGATAGACGTAAGTGACACACGCCTCAGCCCCACCCTTCAAGGACAACTTCCTTTGGAGCCAAGTCCGAACCAATGCTCTGACCTTTGCCCGTACTTCTGACCAATTCTTCTCCAGTTGGAGTCTGGGCCCTAACCAAAATCCAAGAATGCAGACGGGTCCATGAGTCCAAATGAAGGGCCCCGAAAGTGCGACCCCTTTCCAGAAATCTAACCGCAAGACGGAAGACTTGTTAATCTTGGCCCCCGTGACCTTTTAGTAACTTTCAACCGCCTTCTGTACCATTGTAATGTCGCTGCGACACAACACGAAAATGGATACGTCATCGTTGTACACTCGAGCAAGCAGCCAATGAGGGACTCTAACGCCAAAGCATAAAGTAAGGGCGACAGCAGACAACTCTGTCGAACCAACCGTGACAGCGCAAAAGCGCTCAATCGCTTTCCGTACCACAGCACTAGGGGATCGATAGAGGCTGATCCACCTGCAAAAGTCAGGTTTGAATCCAGCGGCCTGCCGGACAGAAGCCAGGTACCGATGGTCGACCCTGTCAAATGCCTTGGAGAGATCTAAATTGATCAGTGTGGTTTGCTCTTCGTCTTGTACACCCTCTAATATCGTGCGGATTAAATGCAGGTTGCTGTGAATTGTTCAAGTCTGCTCAGGTCCCACAAGCTCACGGCAAGTGACTACAAATGTTCTGTCAGTCACCGCCCTTAAACTTATCTAGAGCGAGCCGTTGGCTATATTCAGTGGTGAAGGACCTAATACTATCCTTAAGCCATCCCACCATGTACTCCCAATAACCGACCCACTAATTCCTGCTAACTAATCTAGTCAGCTGTTGCCAGATGTCCCGCCTGTCCGGTATGAACAGTTTGAACTTCCATTGTCTAGCCATTCTAGACCTAGTACCTAACACCACCCAGGCACAAAGTCTGTGGTCAATAGAACAATCTAATAAATCTAGATCGACTCTTCTCATTAACATTCTGTCTAGGTAGCCAACTCCCTGGAGTGACGGCCACTTGAGTGACCCCGTTCACATCTCCCGATCTGGTACCTATCGACAAGCCCAAACTCACCGATCAGAACAACAACGATCGCCCGATGACCTCCCACTACCTCTCCGCCTCGGTCCAGGATGGCATTTCAGTCCCCTATTAAGAGTAAGCGCGACGAATCCACCAGGAACGGCCGAACAAACGGAAAAAATCGATATGTCCCCTATGATCGTTGGGCACATAAACCACAACGATCCGAAACGAAGCACTGCTCGCGACAACGTCGGTCACGATCAAACGTCCTCCCTGAGACTACACAGACAAGGTCTACCCTCGCATCCAGAAAACGTTTAACTAACAATGAAACACCTTTGGCCTACCGATCCCCTTGTGCTGAATAAACAAAGTCATTAGACAGCGCACGCGTATCGACTTCGCAAACAATGTGTATTTCCTGGATTGCAGCTACTAAAGGACAACAGATCACAGAGCAAGCAGGCAGCCTTACCCCTATCTCTCAGTCTCCTCACATTCAGGCTAGCTAGCTTGATAGACATCTTTTAAGTTTTTAGAATACCTTAAATGCAGACTGGTCGGATTGTCCTATACTACCAGTTCCTATATCGTCCGTAATTAGCCCCCGCCAAATGGTCCCATACTTTCAGGTTACTACTTGTGTTTCTTTTGGGGGTGATCACTCTAAGGGCATTTGGGAAATTTCAATGGCCTTCCGTAGACTTACCATCCACGAAAGTACATTTAAATAATGGGAGGTCCATCCCTAGAGCAAATTTGTCCACCACACACAGACCCCCTCCCTTGGGGACAGTCTGCTCATGGAAAAAGACAAATTGTCTTTTTCCATGTGTAGGCTTGGAGGAGGGAGATGGAGAAGACGAAGCCTTGGAAGGAGAGGAAGGGTGCATTGCTGTTTGCTTCTTGCGCGTGAAACAGACAGAGATAAAGGAGTTTTACTCCTCTCTCAGGTTACTGTAGTATTCCGATCCTTTCTTGGGCTTTTCTGTCGTCCATGCTGAAGTAGACGGAGGGGTGGTCAAAGGCTCTTTTTTTTTTTTTCACTATAGCAGAAGGGCATCCTCCCGTGAAGCAAAAGCAAGCAAATAGTTGGTAGACACAAAGACAAAAAAAAAAAAAAACAGCTGACAAGAAAAAAAAAAACAATCGCAAAAGACGTCAAACTTAGAATTCTCCAGCCGAGTCTACATACGTAGGTGGCCGCAAGAAAGATTTAGAAGTAAACTTGAATGATTTACTTCTGAGCCAGAAATCCTAACATCTTTTTTGGAAGTTCAAATTAAAGAATTTATTTTTTTAAACGCTAGGAGAAAATACTCCGAATAACATCATAATCGACGCGGCCTCTGAGCTCATTTGATCGATAAATGGATAAAAAAAGCCTGAGATAGATAGATAGATAGATAGATAGATGGATAGATAGATAGATGAATGAATAATCTATCTATCTATCTATCTATCTATCTCAATCTGTTCATAGATAGATAGATAGATAGATAGATAGATAGATAGATAGATAGATAGATAGATAGATAGATGAATATGAACAGACTGAGATAGATAGATAGATAGATAGATAGATAGATAGATAATCTATCTATCTATCTATCTATTTATCTAGATACATAGATAGATAGATATCTAGATAGATAGATATCTAGATAGATATCTAGATAGATAGATAGATAGATAGATAGATAGATAGATAGATAGATAGATAGATAGAACTATAGACAGATAGATAGATAGATAGAACTATAAACAGATCTGAACAGATTGAGATAGATAGATAGATAATTGGAAAAAAAGTTCATGAAAGTATAATGTTTCGAAAATTATCCGATAAGGCAATTCGCCCATTTTGGTCTTCGAAATCGAAGACGAAAAAGTGGATTGTGTGTGTATGCATTTATGTTTATTTAAAACAATGAGTTCATATATATTTTCCAATTTGGCGTTGCTCCTGACCAGAAAAGAAAGAAAATGAGTGACTTATATATAAAAAAAAGTCATTTAACATTTTCTCCAATTGTCATTTAATGTATAACTCTTAATATATTGTCGGCATGGAGAACGCATGGATAAAAAACATATCTTTCATTTATTTTCTACCCATCCTGATGAATTCAGAGACTGCTCGAGCTATGCACTTACCACAACTTGTGCATAGCCAACTCTTTGTTCAGGACCATGCCCCAGCACAGGGTCTCCTGGAGACATTCACATTCAAAGCACTGGAACAAGCTAGATCTCATTCTGGTCAGACGAGCCGCCATTAAGAACGTCCTCCACACAAGTTATTACCATAGCGCGGACTGCGATACAGACCACTCCGTAGTGTGCTGCAAGATCAAGCTCCAGCCCAAGAGGTTCCACCGCAGCAAGAAGCAGGGAAATTTTCGTATTAATAGATGAGCCAGCCAAACCTTGTGCAACAGTTTGCCAAGGGGTTTGAGGACGAGCAGGCAACCTCACAGGCCTGAGATTCTGACAAGGAGAAGTGGGCGACCTTGCGAAACACTATACACCGCACCGCCTTGGTCACCTTTGAAAGAAAGACCTCAAAATAATATGACTGGTTTGAGGCAAAGTCCGCCGAGATTACTCCATTGTGGTCAAGCGGCCACCCAGCAAGATAAACCTGCAGATCCCCCGAGCTGCCAGGAGAAAAGCTCATCAAATTTCCAGACGTTGTGTCAACGAGTACTGGACAGAGTTTAGCGAAATCATCCAGACAGCAGCAATTACAGGGAATATCAGAGGGATGTATGATGGCATCAAGACGGCAATGAAACTAGAGCAGAACAAGACATCTCCCCTTACCGGGGAAGTCGTCGCAGACAAGGGTCAACAGATGGAGAGATCGGTGGAACATTATTCCGACCTCTACTCCAGGCCGAATGTTGTGACGACCGCAGCCCTTGATGCTATTGAATGCCTGCCGGTCATAGAGGACCTCGACACCGAACCGACCATTAGCAAGGCCATTGACGGATTGGCATCAGGGAAGGCCTCTGACAGTGGCGGTATCCACCCCACCGACCTAATCGGGCACTGTCATACTGCTCCCATTGCACGAGGTCCTCTACCAGTGTTGGAAAGAGAGGGCCGTACCTCACGATATGAGAGATTCCAAGATCGTCACCCTCTATAAGAACAAGGTTGAGCGAAGCGACTGTAACAACTACAGAGGCATCTCGCTACTCAGCTCTCTGGAAAAGGTCTTCGCTTGGGTCATCTTGGTCCGCCTGCAGAAACTCGCCGAACGTGTCTACCCAGAGTCGCAGTGCGGTTTCCGAGCTGAAAGATCAACAGTAGACATGGTCTTCTCCCCACCGCCAGATCCAGGAGAAGTGCAGAGAACAGCAGATGCCCATGTACGTCGCTTTCATCGATCTCACTAAGGCAGCCATTCTCAACCTTTCCTCAATCATTGACCCCCTCGGCTTGATGTATTTCCCCATTTACCCCCTACTCCCATACAAAAAATTCATAGCCATCATAAAACATTGATGTACAATTTCGTTACTAAATGAATGAATGATTTTTTCATTCAAAATACTAAGGGTTTTTTTAGTCAAAATACTGTGCCTAAAAAAATACTAAGCGACACTCAAAATACTAATTTCTTATTTAGTACTAATCTACTAACTTTTTAGTATAAGTTAGTACTCTGTATGAAATTCAGTATTTTTATTAACGTTTGTAGTCATTAATAAAAAATTATTCATTTTATCCGCTGTATTAGTAGATCTACAAATTAATACTAATCATAATCATTCATTCAAAAAAAAAAATTTTAGTATTTTTTGTTTTTGGCAATTTAAAAAATTTTTGGAAAATACTAAAAAATTTTTTTTGAATGAATGATTATGATTAGTACTGACTAATTTGTGACTAAAAATTGTGCAAATTAGTCATTAGTAAAAATACCAAAACAGAAATAAAAAAAATACTGACAAATGCTAAAAATTAGTAAAAATTCAGTATTCTGATTAAAAAATTAGTAATCCATCATTCATTTGTACATCAATGTCATAAAGTGACAGAAAAACAAGAAGGTCAGAAAGAACCTTTTTATTGTTTAGGACTTTAGGTTTTGTATAAAAATAGTATTATACATTCGTATCAACAAAAAAAAAAAGAAGAAAATCAAACCTTTTCTAAATAGAAAATTATGAAGTTAATTTGTATTACAAAAAATAATGAAAAGAAACACCAGAAGCATTATCAATGGGAACACCTCTTGATTCATTGAGTCAATCAGTTTGTTTATGCGAGGAGCTGTTTCTGATAATGCTACTCTCATTTCATCATCGGCTTTCAGGCGGTTTTTTTTTCTAAATTATCAGGTACTTCAATTATTTACCCCCGACTATATAATTTTTTACCCTCTAGGGGTAAATTTACCCCTGGTTGAGAACATCTGCTCTAAGGTGTTTGATCTTGTCAGCAGAGAAGGTCTCTTCAGGATCCTCCCCGACACTTCTGATCCCTTCAACATCTGCTGTGTGGTCAAACAGGGATGCGTCCTCGGCCCCAATCTCTTCGGGATCTTCTTCGCTCTGATCTGCATTTGGCACATCAAGAGAAGGGATTTATCTGCGTACGAGATCAGGTTGTGGGTTGTTCAATCTTGCTCGCCTCAGAGCCAGGACCAAAGTACGTGAAGCCCTTATCAGAGATGCTTTTTGCCGACGATGCGGCGGTAGCGACTCACATCCAGTGATGACCATCAGCCTGAAAAAGACAAACATCCTGGAATAAGATACCGAAACACCACCAGCCATCACCATTGACGACTATGAGCTCGATGCAGTCCATCTGTTCACGTACATGGATCCACCATCACCGACAACAACTTAGACGAGATTGACAAGAGAATCGGTAAGGAAGCCACAACCCTTGCGCACCTGACAACACGTGTGTATACCAATTCTAAGTTGACGGTGAAAACCAAGATAGCAGTGTACAATGCCTACGTCATCAGCACATTGCTATATGGCAGCCAGGCAAGAAAGGCGTCTAAACACCTTTCACTTGAGAAGCACCCGCCGCATCCTGGGAATAGTGTAGCAAGACAGGGTGCACAACATTGAGATCCTGTTTCGTGCAGGTCTGTCCAGCATGTTCACACTGCTCAGTTGGTTAGGCCACATCCACTGCAATCCAGGCAGCCGCATCCCCAAAGATCTCCTATATGGACAGCTGGCTTCTGGAAGGAGAGCCGCCGGATGGTCACAGCTGCGATACCGCGATGTCGTGAGGCGTGACATGAAAGCTGTGGACATCAACACAGAGCCTGGGGAGAGCCTGGCAGCCATACGATCCAAATGGAGATGAACCCTGACCAAAAACCTCATCAGGAGAGGGGAAGCTGCCACAAATCGCCACAGAAAGGCGGGCCCGCAGAAAGCAAAATGACAAAACACACATGCAACCTCTGGAACAGAGGTCGTCACTCTCGCATCGGCATCTACAGTCGTAGATTGTATTCGAAGAAGTGTTTTCTTTTCTGGACACAGAGTGTGTAGGAAATGTCCAAATGATCTATAATTCCGAGCGCTTTCGGCTATACTTTTAGCCATTATCAAGGATGATTTTATTTTTTCGGTTTAATTGGGTGTGTGTATGATTTTAGTGTTATAGAGATGTTTATTTTCCGGACACAGTTAGCACATTGTGGCCGTGTGCGTAGTTAATACTATTAAGTCTTGGCTCTTTTATTATTATTAAGGCCTCCATTACACACACACACACACACATATATATATGGTAATCATACAAATTGATTGATTGATTGATTTGTTTTCTACGACTTATCAATCCTTTGTATGTTATTCAAAATCAGAAAATACTTTTAGAGTGCAGGAATTTTGAGGTGTGGTGGGAGAGATAATAATAGTTTAGTGATACATGTATTACTAATTAAACCCATAGTTGGTGAGGGGGGGAGAAGAGGTGGATTTATACCGTTTTCAAGGGTACTTGTGCGTAAGTGAATGTAACGAACCCAACGGGAATTGGATCTCGGCTCTCCGATTAACAATTAAAGAGCCGTTATCCATTACCAACCCCAAATTCAAGTTTACAGCACCTGGTATTCCGAAGCGTTCACCCATTTAGACTCGACGTTGTTTCACCGTGGAATCGATCTTTTAACGTGATATATGGCCTTAAGCCTAAATATAAATCAAAATCACCTATTAAAATATGCAAAATTAATAGAATTTAATTTTATGTCTAGGCAAGTAGAATTTATATCAAGAAAATGGTCAATTTTTGCCATAAAATATGCTACACTAAATAATTTAAAAGAGGAAATAATTCACTAAGAAAGACGAAAATGTCTAGCTAGAAAGTGCTTTAAATCGTTAGTTCAGCCACAGTAAATTTACATTCAGCTTCTTACAACGAATCGCCATTCTTCGCAGATTTTCTGTTATCACAAGGAAAAAGATGATATAAACTAAAAAGAAAAAGAAAAGGTATATACAACTTATTTGGTTAGACTTCAAAAAAAAAAAAATCTTTCCAAATTTTGAAACTCCTAGCGTCTCACGTTCATGCGCATGTGCAGTCACAACAACGTCAACAAACCCACTCCGAGGAAGTCCGAACGGATGAAAAACGCGTTACAAAATTTATATATCGTTCCCTTATTTCTTTTTTCTTTTTTTTTTGTGTGTGTAACATTTTTTTGTGAAGGAATTGAAATAAAATGTCGTCTGTTTACTAGAAATATTGTGTTCGACGACTTCTTAAATTGAGTTACTCTGGTTTTAGCTGTATAAACAAACTTTTGAAATGAATGTATTTATTGTAGATGATCATGACTACAGAGACATTTTTCTAAATTGAAGTCCTAGAAGACGAAACGTATAACGCAGAACTTTTTTACACTTTGTCATTCATTTGCATAACATTATTATTCTGATAATAAAAACAATCTCCCTACATTTTAATAAATGCTTAATTTTGCAATACATATGCGTACACAAACAATTACTCGTACTCATTTATAAATAAAGTAGATATATTATTTAAAAATACTAAAAACAGAAAATAAAAATGAATTTGTAAAAATTTGTATGTCTTCTCAACAGTAAATGAGCATACAATAATTGTCATAAATGGACGGTTTATGTACTTAACTTCTTATTGTCACTAGGTCCTTCCACTGAGATGGAATGTGACACAAGGTCAAGTTTAACGTGGGGGACGTACACCCGGGCCAAGGAGAAAAATTAACCCAGCCCCTGCAACCGTCGGTTACGCTGGCCTTGATATGACTACCGATCCCCACTTGTTTATTGAAATAGGGTGTTGGAGCGAGGCAGCTGTTTTCCGGGAATCGGGAATTTATTTTCCTGAGCAGTGTCTCTGTACACGGTCAGAGCCACTACTGAGTCGAAATCTACCCGAAGACAGAGACGCAACAGAAATAAAAAAACCCTATCCGGCATGTGCCAGCTAGGGTAATGTGTCACAGAAAAGTTACAAATCACTAATATAAAGTTTAGGTATGTATTTCTGATTTTTAAATAATCATTACTAGTTTAATTTCTGTCGCTTTGCTTTATCAGATTTCTAAATTTATATTGTTTGTCTAATTAAAATACTGCTGTTATCAGAAAATATACTCTGTTTAAAAATTAGATACCCTCTACATTTTTA